GACTGGACTGTTTGATGCAGACAGTTATATATTGTAGACTGCATGGTATTCTTTAGGAGGATGACAGAAGAATGTTTTACTTTCAACATTTAAGTCACTAGAATATTTAGTGAAATCTATCTGCATCAGGCAGTAGAAATAAACCCCTTGATCAGTGATCACTCAGAAATCACTACAATTAGGAGGCCATCTGTGCCCAGCAGAAAAATAAATTGGAAGCTTTTCACTAGGCAGATGCCCATGAAAAAAACCTCACCAATTCCAACTATACTAATTGTCCTTAAAACCAGCCAGCAAACGTACAGCTCATTTCCTAGATACAAGATTATTTTCTAGGATTTTAGATCTTTTCATTCAAACATATATCAAGAAGTTGATACATTATAAATATACTAGGAACAGAAAATTCAAACAATGTATTCCACTCGGCAAGCAACAATAGCACAATTCAATTCTGTATTTACAGAGTGCAGCCACATTGGCAACAAATGGCTGGCTTCAATAGACACACATGTACCTATGTGGTTGTGAACGGCTTGGCTCTGCCTACAAAATGGCTACACCAAGGCTTTGGAAAAGGACACGTGTGAACTTTTTCTGCCAGTGACTTGCATTCACATCAGTGCCTGCACCAAAAGGAGCTTTCTGATTAAAGTGGACCTTTATCTCCTTTGACTAAAAATCAAATCAGTATACATCTCTGCATGCTCTGAATGTAAGATGTGAAATCTTACATTCATTAGTAAAAAAAAAAAAAAACGTACAATTTTTCTTACAATTATTGTTTTTCCACTTCCTGGCCCGCTTGGCACAACGTATATAATGTGCTCAAGCATTGCATAGTGAGAAGGTTACTTCAGCAGAGCATTGCTGGGAAATATCATCTGTAATCTCATGAGATCTCAGGGAAAGGCATTTTCCTCCCCTGAGATGATGTGCATGGTCACATGTCCTAGTCACATGTGCCAGAGTTCCAGGAAGTAAAGAGAGCTCTAATAACCTGCCCTTAGTTAAAATGGCCCCTGTCCGAAGACTGGGGGAAAAAAAGAAAAAGCCTGGAATTATCTAGAAGTTTTGAAGATAGAGTTCCTTTTTAAGCACGCAGACTAAAAGTGACCCATCAGTCACCTAAAAAATCTAAACGCATGCTCCCCGCAATAGAAAAAGGGTTAGGGTCAATGGCAAACTTTCTTTCGGCTTGTGTCAATGGTATCATTTTGAAATGAGTTTGAGATGTTTCTAAGGTTATCCAGAACTCATTGACGGGAGCATTTGAGTTGTAGTTGACAAAAAGCCTGTTGACAGTGTCTTCTACTCACCTCTCCAGTAGCCCATATCTCCTACCTTTCTTTGTTCCAGTGCTGCAACCTCCATCAGACACTTCAGAATTCAATGCTTTTGGGAGTGTTGGATGTCCTTTTCCCTCGCTGCACACGGTTGTTTCATACTCCCATTTCTACGGGTTAGTTCATACCAGAAACTGCATCAAAACTGCGTGCGTCTGCACAGTTGCATTGCGATCCGTTTTTGATGCATTTTTCCCCCCTGCATGTGCCTGGATGATGCCACAATTAATTCTGTTTTTTTTTGTATGCGTTCCGTTTTGAGTTTGCACTGCGTTTAGTGCAGTTAGATGCAGGTAAAATAGGACAAGCAGTACTTTTTCTGACTGCATCTGAACGGACTGCAATGGTGTGAATTAGGCACAAGAAAGCCCATAGGAAAGCATTGGGATGCATTTTGACTGCAGCAGTTAAAATAAACAGACTGCATTACAACTGCATATGGTGTGAACAGGCCCCAAGTCATCACAGTACACAGTAGTAAAGGGATTTGAGGATGTACTTATAGCATGATGCTGGGGGACACAGGCATCTGACACTCCTGGATAGATTGAATATAGAGAATTCTGATGAAAGCTGCCGCTCTGGAGTAGAAGGTAGGAGGAGACATGGGCCACTGGAGAGATGCGCATAATAGCTTGTCGAATGAAGAAAACCTAAATTTGTATTTTTTAGGCAACTGACGGCGGTTGCTTTAGGACAGCAGTCTGAACAAGTAGGCAATTTGAAGTTTAACATCCATTCATGTATGAAAGTTGACTGATACAAAAGATGTTGCTCAGACAAATATCCCCAGAAAAAAAAACTGCAAACAATTTTTGGCATTTTGTTCACTGATCTAAAGGACCAACTCTTAAATGTGTGTGTTGATTAGCAAAAGAAAAAAAAGAGTTAAAATTCTGCCTGTAACCCCATTGGGGAGATTTCACTTCCTCTCATGAAAACTATACAGGGTTCTCTTCAACAGGGACATCAATGGCAATAAAAACATGTGGGTCTTGCACTTTTCTATTTCATTTTAAATACATGCACCCGTTTAGGTCTCCGTGAACGATTCAATACGTGTATTTCTCAAAAAATAAGCCGTTTAGTGGAGACAATTGTCACCATTAAGGCTGCATTCAAACCGAGGCACGAGCGTCTTTGTGCATTTCTATATACATCAGAAATATATGCAGCACACCAATGGATGATGTCCAAAATAGAGTGTCTTTTATTCATGCATATTGTAACATCACAAATGCAACGTTTCGGGGCCACACAGGGTCCCCTTCAATAGGCTTGAGCCCTGAAGCGTTGCATTTTTTGATGTGACAATATGCATGCATAACAGAAGGTTTATTTGGACATCTTCCATTGATGTGCTGGTGACATTTGTGATGTATACTGTGATGTGCGGCGCCATCCGCAGTTGCTTCAGCACCCACGTTTCAGCAGAAGGGGCATTTGGTAAGGAGTGAGGCAGTTATCTAGGAATATTTGCGGATTTCTATGCGCGTTTTCACACACGTCAGACGTATGTACATTAAGTTGCGTGTCTTATCGGGCAGATTGTGATACATAGATGTGAATGGGCAAACGCAAGTAAAAATAGTGCTGCACATTTCCAAGCATTTCCTATTGAGTCTTTGGGGCTGAGGCTTGCGACAAAACGCTCCTGTGCGAAGAGGGGTTTTAGGAATGAATGGGATTTCCCATTTTTATGCGTGACAAAATGCCTAGGTGTGAACAGGACCTTATGGAAAGCCAGTTAGGCTATAAAGAATGTTTGAAGTGCAAGCAAATGCTTTTGCAAATGTGTTGAAAAGGGTCTCTAAATCATTGGGGAACAAACTGGGCCACAACATTTTGAAGCGAGAGGAACATTCTGGTGACAGCCTTGCAAGTATATGTTTATGTTTTATGAAGCTGGACACAAGTTTCAATTTCCTGGTAGAGATGGACTTGAGTGAATATTAAATTGCTCGACAGGTTAAGTTTCATTTTATGTTCTATTTTTTTTTTAAATCAGTAAAGGCATTTCCAAACTTATTTGGTTTCTGGAATCACTGCCTATGTCACTTTAATGCTAAAAATGCAATAATGGTCTAATGAAATTTAAACTGCTTGGACTCTCACTGCTTGCACAAAAAAACGGGGCTGTCTACCCCAACAGGCAAGTGAAGGCAAGGCTGTTTTATATTACAACGTGAATGTTTGGGTGTGTATCTCAAAATAAGCTTTAAAAATATTAACACGTTGACCAACCGACAAGCATGTAGACAGATGTAAAAGCAAGCAGCTGATAGGTAAATGATAAAACGTGGACTTGTCTTAAGAGTGCAATCCATTACTCAACACAGACGTGAAGAATGTGAGAAAAATTATGCACGTCATTAGCAAAACCATGTGCTGGCAATGAACTATAAATGGTGACATTGGGAAGCAATGCTTAGACTTTCCTATTGAATAATCTTTCAAAATAAACAAATATATGGACGTTCCCATTTGTAGTAAATGCTGAAGAGAGAGAGAGGGCTCCTTCCCCTGTCATCAGCGATCAACGGTCATTTTAGTATGTCAGTGTCGAGATCGAGAGAGAGAGGGAAGGAGCCCGGCTGGCACACGGGGACGTGCAGGTAAGGAGAGAGCTGCTGCGCATGTCCATATATTCGTGGACGAATCACTGTCAGCCACAGTGAGGAAGATCAGTGGGGAGGATCCCGTCAGATACGTCGGGATGTCTCCTCATTGCGGTGCTTAGCCCCGCCCACCACCTTAAATAGGGGTTTACAGCCTTACTGTGCATTTTGGCTAATTAGAGTAAATTACATAATTTACTTATTTAGCCTAAGGAATGCATTAATAAAGAAAAAATTGAACCCCATAGTTCTCCTTTAAATAAAAGAATTTGAGTAGTTCAACTATGTGTGATTAATTTATTAACCTAAAATCGGTTCTGATATCGCTGTTTTACTAACCTGACAGCTTGTTATTCTAAAATAGGAAAACTTCATTTTGTTTACAAATAATAATATTAAAGATTCCTACTACCAGCAAGAATGAGTCCTTACATTTAAAGAGCATTAAGCGGGGGCATCACCTGCTGCCCGCCACGTCCCTCACCTTGTTGTGTCACTGCCGCATCACCAGACGTCCCATTAAAGTGAATGGGACTGTCGGTGAGTCAACAGCGGGTCAGAAGATGAGCCGCTGTGGAACAGAGATGACAGTTGCTCTTTAAAAATTATGATTTAAATCGAGATGGTTTAGATCAAGCCTTTTTACTAGCGATTTAAATCAAATCCACCCTGAAAGCATAAATGGGAAATGTCTCCTCTGTGCCCTGATGCTGTCAAAGACATAGATAGCATGTATATAATGTAATGCTGGCTCTGAAATCATGGTTGCACATTTGAGGCCGTAAACATTGAAACATTTTACATTCAACAAATATTTCAGCAATGACCTGATAAAAAACATATTTCAATTATTTTTTTTATATCTACATTAGGAAAATACATAAAATGTAACATATACATAGCAGTAATGTCTCTTTACAAACATGAACAAGTGGCAATCATGTTTACCACAAAAAGCACCAGAAAAGGCCCATGGGGGAAAAGAAATGCAATTTTTAGGATATTGTTATGCAAATAAAGAGTATACGTGGCTTACCGTTTGACTATCCGGAAAGTCCATCTTTATTAACTTATGAGCACATTCTTCAAAGTCTAAACTGGAAAAGAAAATTCAAATAAATATTAATTTTAATGATTAATGGGCATTACGACACAGCTCAGACCTGCTCTTCACCACACAAAGTAGTAACGTTATCACTTGGGTACTCGTATGCTAGAGATGAGCATCCATGATATCTTGGCCTTTGTTACAGGCACAAAAAGACAATGCACATCTGTATTTAAAATATATAATTTCTTTTGGCAAGCAAGCTATGAATGTATCTGAATATTACTTTGTATTAGCCTTCTTAACTGTCCTATAAAGCAGAGCGAGAAAGAAGCTACACAAAGAGCCAATCAGTTATGCTACAGTAATCACATGCTAAGAAGTAACATAGTGATAGGAGGAGAGAATGACAGCCAGAGGAGCTCACTCTGCTGCTTTCTGGCCACAGCCTCAGATTACAGCCCCATAGAAGCTATCAGGGCACTATTGTGCAGGCATGGCCAGGACAGTGAAGACTTCTTGAGATGCTGGATCTAAACAGCAGAGCTGAGGCTTTTTAGTTTAAAACAAGTATGCATATGTGGAGGAAGAGGCATGTAGGTTAGGTCTTTTTTTCAAAGCGCATTATCCTTTAACACCTGAATATATAGCATTGTATAGAGCAACTTCGAGTAGTAGGATATGTCTCCCAGGTAGAGTTGTGTTAGGAATACACTAAATTATGTTATAAAATATAAAAAAACTGTAAATAAAACCCAAAACATATAGCATTTAAACCTGAACTTCATGCAAACAGCTAAATAGACAAAGTGCTGTTTTATCTGGCAGAGGATTTATATTTCTGAATTTTCCAGTTCGGATATTAATCATAATCTAATCTGTTAAAAATCCTCACGCCTACTGTGTTGTGTGGTACATCACAGCCTGCTCTGCAAAAATCAGGCTCCATGACTGCTAATGAGGCATGGCTTCTGGAAAAGTTAGTGACATACTGGGGGTGATTTACTAACCTAAAACACACGCACGCACTAGGTGCGTGTGATTTTTACACAGCAAAACGTATTTATCAACCAAAAAGTCTCTAAAAGCATATTTCCACTAATGCCATATATGGAAAAATCATGCACATGATGCATATATAATGCTGCTTCACAGTTTAGACAAAAATGGTTAGCTCATGCATTTACATTCCTGCATTCATCAACTCAAGCAACACAATGTAGAGCTAATTTACACAACATCACCTTGCAATTCATGCAGGGCTTTGCACAACACACCTGCTGGGTGTGTACACACTACAAAGGTGTCTAGATTCCACCAATAGATCATGCTGGGAGGGAACACACTACAGAGGTGTATACTTGTTCGTGGCGTGTTTAAAAGGTTAGTAAATCAACCCCACTGGGTCTAAAGTTAGTATGAGGAATGTATCCATCTCCGCTGTCAAGGGTGTCTGTGACATGGTCGCAGAATGTGGTAGATTCTCTGTTATGTACAGCCTCCTACCTGGTAGAGGGAGGCACATAGAAATCAGGCTGTGCCCTAGTACACAAAATGCTCCTTGTTGTATTGTTGGCTACCAATACCCAGATATTACTATAGTGCCTAATCTACTATCTATGGAGTACATATAACAGAATAATCCCTGCATTAAAACACTTTTTTGCAAGATAATGGGAGATTTACACTAAGCAACCATGCTGTAAACATTCAGCTGAGCTGTAAATTAGACATAATGAGCGGTAAAAGCATACTCAGAGGATCCTAAAAAAGAAAGTTTTATTTCGAAACAGCTCCTTTCATAGTAAAAGCACATGGATCATTGCAGCCAGCTTGGCAGAATAAGTACAGCTGGAAAAGTGAACACAGCTATCAAATACATTTTGCAAAATCTGAAAATTGCCTCCCGGGAAAGCAGTGCCTGTTAAATCATTAGAGGATTTTCAGATGAAATCAGATACATTCATTGCAGAAAAGCAGCAGAGTTATAGGAATGGGTAGGCTCCATTAAGCATCTGTAGGTACAAGTACATTTTACGGTTACAAAAAGCCATTACACTAGCATTATTTTGATCCAGGCTTTTTGCCGATCACACGCGTTTGAAAGCCAGACGCTATTTTTTTTTGCTTCTGAATATGTTCTCTCTGCAATACTAAAAAAAGAATACATGGAAAAATAGATGCAAAAAGCTAGACAAAATAGAGAGATTACCATGTGATTATCTGCAGGGAAAATTACCTTGTGTAATACTGAATTATATGCTCATCATTTTCTACAGCCAGAGAAAACAATGTTAAAAAGTAGGTGCTACAGCTATGCACTAGTATGAAATGATTTCATGGGTCGTGTGTAGTGCATTCCTCTAACACACATGACAAAAGAAGCAGCATGAAAAGTTTGGGTCAAATGACAGATCCTCTCTACACTTAAAGAAAAGGTATGGTGTTTTGGAAATATTTTGATTGTTTTTGTATGATGTTTGAGAGTAAAATAATATAAAATACTGTTTGCCTTTTTTTTTTAGCCAGGTAGAGATTGAAGCATTGTAATCCCCTTCTACAAATTTATGATTTAGAGCCAGAAGGCGGAGCTCTAGACTTATTTTAACATGTTTAGCTGGGCTAATGTTATCAAGATGGCTGAAGAAAGCCTGTTTACAGAGCTCATGCTTTGATTACACACCCAGATGACAAAGTTAATAAACCTAGAAAGACTGAGGACATACTGTGAGAGCAGTGTGCACTCTGAAGGGGCATCATCACACGCCACAGCACACTTCATTTACAAAGTAATACTGTAATAGCTGCTCTTTGCATTATCACATCAGCATTGTTCCCTGCATCATCAAGTTACAGAAGAGAGGCAAAGAGGAAAAGGAACTAGTGTGTCATATGACCATTCTGGACACTTCTGCAAATGCATAGAAATATATATATCTTAGGGATGCACCAATACTTTTCGAGTACCAATGCCGATACTTGGCATTTCCATGACAACTACCTAGCTCTGACAAGGAAGACGCTTTAGCCACATACCATGCTGTTCTGTTTATGTATCTTTTGATTTATTACCTGTATTGTTTGAAAAATTGAAATAAAGAATTTACAAAAAAAAAAAAGAGATGTACAAATCCCTTACAAATGGCAGCTGCCTCCTAACTGTTGAATTTTTCTCTAGTGTTGGAGCTCGAAAAAGTATCTGTACTGAGTACTGTACTTGGTATCAGTGCATCCCTAATAATCACACACACACACCAGAAATGTATGTGATGGTTCTCATTCATCCAGATCATGGTATATCTGTAAAAAAAGAGGCAAGGCAACTGGACTTGCTGTATTTTTCTTGAAGACGTTTCACTGGACATCCGACCAGCTTTCTCAATTCAGAATGACTTGTACAAAAATTCCCAGATAAGTTTTGCACAAGTCATTCTGAATTGAGAAAGCTGGTTGGATGACCAGTGAAATCTCTTCAAGAAAAATACAGCAAGTCCAGTTGCCTTGACTTATTTTTTACAGATATACATCAGAAATCCATAACAGCATTTGCAAAAATGCAGAATGTGCAAGATCTAAAATGACATTTTTTCTTATATACCTTAGAAAACGGCAGTGAAAGCATCATAAACAGTGCTTTAAAATGTGCACCAATTAAAAAAAACAACAAAAACCTTCAGTAACATAAGCTTAACTACTTACCTTGACTGAATTGCAAGATATATTGTTCGGCGAAACGACACCAAGTTGACTTCAGTTTGGTCATGTATTGTTAATTTCTCCCCTACAATAAAAAAAAATTAGACACATTTAATACAGTGAATATTACTTCTCCACGCCCATTCCAAAAAATAAGTAAAATAAAATATGCATATAGGTGTGTGTGTGTGTGCCAACACAGTTTACTAGTATACTGTGGAAACCATACTGGGGTTCTTAAGACAAGCTGTACTTCTGGTTCTTAAGTAGTTAAAAGGAAGACCTGCTGTAACCCAAAGTAAATTCTCCCCTTACATTGAACATAAGCCAAGAAATTGGTTTCTATGGGCAACAAGAAGTGTTTTTTTAGACACTTTCAAACATTGAGACTAGTACTATTTAAAGTTCCATGCTTTTCCGTTTTTCTACAATGAACCTCAATAAAGTAAAGTTCCTTTAGGACATCTGCTAGACAGCCCGAATTGCAAGTAAACAGTCGTGATGAAAGTAGACTAAATGAGGACAGAAAAACAAAGTTGAAAAAGTTGAGGCAAAGCGATGTGGGCAATGAGCTCATCTTTATTCCATATTACTTCAGCGCCTTACATAATTTATATTCCAATATTCTCCGTGCCAGCCTACCACAGACAAGCACACATAATGGCAGTGCCCCAGCTACAGTTCCAGTCTGCCAGCTGCCTGCTCTATCAATCACTATCGTAGTAATCTCACTGGAAGGCTACAAATAGCAAATAAGAGACACTGAATGTTTACATGCCTTTAAGCAATTATTTTCAAACAACCCAAAGTGAGAACATCAAAAATGCTATAAATCAACCCAAGTTAATGTGGGAAATGTAGTCATTTGTTTTCATTTTTAAACAGTAACACAAATTATGGAAGTTGAGGAATAACTCAAAAAGCTGAAAGCATTTAGAGTTTACTATTCATAGCATAAAATGTTAGATGATCTAGAGTGCTGAAAATAAAATGTAGGGCAGAATTTTTAAAGGCCCTTTCACCAACGTAAAAAGCTGCAGGTAAAAAAACACAGACAAATCTTGCCTTGCAGGGTTTTTCCTTTCCATACATGATTTTTTTTTTTTTAACCCACTTCAAATGTGCCTCTGAACTTGCTAGAAAATTTGACTAATTAAAGAAGAGTCAATTAGAACACAAACAGAAAAAAATGCATGTTGTAGTAGTGATGAGCTAGAACCTGTCAGAGTTATATTGCTGTTTATGGAGATTTCCACTCACTTCCTGTATGGTCACTGGTTTGGGGGAGAGAAAAAAAAAAAACCTCTCCCTTTCTCATTCTCTTCAAAAGGAAAAAAATTGTGTATATATTGTGACAGGGTACACGACTCTGTGTATGTCAGTGAGAGGTTGAAAAGGGCAGCTTTCCCTGGCTAGGAAAGGGTTAAGCCTGGCCCAACAGGTAAACCTCCTCTCTCTCTATTAATTAGCCTGCACCTGATAGTGACAGAGGGGGAGAGAGCTCAGAGCAAGATGCAGGCTGCACTGGATGGACACAGACTGGAGAGTGTCTGCATATCTGGGGAATAAGGTCTGCCAGAACAACTGTATGTATTGGACTGTGGTTTTTGTCCATTTATACTGGAAGCTGGAATAGCCGCTCCAGTAGGACGTAGTGAGGGACACTACTGTTTAGTTAGCCTCCTAAGGTGGAGTAGGCCTTTTTATTTGTGTTACTTTTTCGTTGGATGCAATAAAGCTGCATTTATTGCCATTACTGTTTAAAGACCAGTGACTTCCCTACAATATATATATATATATACACATATATACACACACACACAACTGGTGGATAGCATGGAAGGGTTGTACCCTTTGTCAGGATTGTATTGTATTTCCTGGAGAGATTCATCCACTAATTTTGTCTTGGTGACCACTGTGACAGGGACAGAAAGTAATCAAAAATGTTAGTTGTCCATGAGTCTTTAGTTGAGGGTTAGGGTATTTCCTCTCAATTGGCAAATTCCTCTCTGGAGAGAAATCATGGAAAGAAAGCAACAACAAAAAAAGAGAATACAATTAAAAATGAGATTTGGCTGAGGTTCAACTTTAAGTTCTTGTGACAGGTCCATTTAAACTAGCAATAAACACTGGAAGGGCAATAAAGAAGTGAAGATATTAGTGTATATAATGCATCTATTTATTCAATGAATGATTATGACAAAATGTAGAACAAACCTTCTCCTCCGTCCTCAGCTCCATCTGCTTCTTCCTCATCATCATCACTGTCATCTCCACTGCCTCCTCCTTCTCCTTCAGAATCAGTGTCCCCTTCGTCAAGGATTTCTTAAAAACACAAGAATAATAGATGAAACATAAGACAAAAACCTCTAGTAGGTAACGCAGGCTACCCAGGTTAGGAAACTCAAGCCATTAGTAAAGGCGATTTAACCACCCAAAGCTTTAATCTGCAGAACGGTTGCGGTGGTTTTTTTCCCCCCTTCACTGACAGTTTATAACGTAAATACATTTTCCCTTGAGATTTATTGGTGTTGCTGGTTCCTGAAGCAGAATTATTACACACGTTGCAGCAATGACAACTAGATCAAAACGGAGGTCTATTAAAAATACAGTATGAATTCCTAATGTACAGCTATCTGTATTGTGAATTTCAATAGTATCGCAGCGCTGAACACTGAAAAATGGCCTGGCCAGGAAGGGGGTCTAAACACCTGGTCTTGAAGTGGTTAAACATTAAAAAATAAAGAATGATGGAAAAGGTGAATGCATAAAAGGGGATTTCCAAGTACAATGGAAATCCCCAACTTGTTTGAGACCTCTCCCTGTAGAGGTGTCCTCTCCTTGGCACAGTCTACTGGCAAGCAGCAACAGCACCCCCACCACCTAGCTGCCTTTTGAAGTGTTTAGTGGACTGAAGGCCAACCACAAAACAAAAACAACAAAAAATACAATGATTTCCACACATACCTTTTTTAATAGTTTTGTACTTTTCTTCATTTTCAAGAAAATCTGGATCCATCTTGAACACATCTAGAAAGGAAAATGATGAAGGTTACTATCGAATATAATAGCATAGCCAATATCAGTTATCCAAAAGAGAAAAAAAAAAAAAGATTTATATGATAACGAGGCTCCTGCTTTTAATATTATATTCATAGCCATATGAATATTAATTTGCTAAAATCAGCAACTACCAAACAGTGATATGTTGAAAAATTCTAACTGGGTACTCAGGATTGGCCTAAAATGTGGAATATAACATGGGTGCAAAAAATGAAAAAAGGGCCTCAGTCATGAAGGGGTTAAAGCAGAACTTTAGTGGAAATTTGATGGCAGGGAACCTTTTACTACTTTCTTCTGCAATAAACGTTTCTCTGTTGTTGGCCAGCTTCTCTTCTATAATATATAGTGCATTTTTGTTATGCCTTGGTGCCAGGATAAATTATTATGATGACCGAATATGCTGAACCCAGAAGAGCGGGCAAAGATGGGAACCCCAATGAGGGAGCTTGGAGGTGAGTATAGTAGAGGAGTGTACCTCCACTTAAAAGTCCATATAAACTTTCAATTTAAAATCAGCCATATGTATATTCCAGGGGCATCTAAATAAAAGGTGAAGATCTGTTGGTTTAAGACCACCTGGTGGATGGGTTACCCGACCCCCCCACCCCTTTCTCTTGTTCTTTTTCCATTCCTTCTAACCAAAAGAAAAAAAAAATAGGCCCATAGAAGAAATGTAAAAAGTGTTATGGTCTACACATAAGAGCTGAAGTGGTTAAAAGCGGCCAGCAATTTTGCTTTAACACAGGCATTCTCCACTATATTAAAAAAGCACTAAGCTTTGGAAAATACGAGAAAAGCAGAAGTGAACTGAAAACAATCATCAGGAAAAGTAAACAGCTCGAGAATGACAGATTTCTCTGCAACTGAATGATCGTGATTTATGCTGCAAACAAATACTTTGCAGGCAGTTTATTCACAGAGTAGTCAATTCAAAGCTGCCAAAGATTTTCATCAGCGCGATGATAAATGACATAGTAAAGACTCACTAAGTACGTCTTCTGGATTGTAATCATCCTCTAAAGGCAGCATATGTGTAAACTGATCTTCCTCCTCCACCAGGTCCAGGCCATCAGGGATAACTGGGTGATCTTTGAAGCCATCTTTTCTGACAGCAAATAAGACCTCAATCATGTACTGCACACGCTTGTCTATTTCCGACTCGTGTAGGATGTTCCGCATACGCTCAAAGATAGCTGAAGGGAATAGAAAAATCACACGTATGAGCTAATAAAACAACCGCGTTAAACATTAAATGAATCAAATGGTTTGATCATTGAGGGTTCCTTCACACTTGCGTGGTGAAAGCCACAAGTCAAAAAGATCTGTGATTTTTCAAGTTAGGTTTATGTGAGATGATCCCACCTCAACCTAACCACTGAACCATCACATTCTCAAACAATTCATCCCCACACAGCTACCTCCTCATGTATCACTTCTCCCTCCCTTTTAGATTGTAAGCCCTCAGGGGCAGGGCCCTCGTTACCATCTTGTCTTGAACTGTATTGTGATTGTAATGCCTTCCTTATATTGTAAAGCGCTGTGCAAACTGTTGGCGCTATATACCGTATTTTTCGCTCCATAAGACGCACTTTTTTCCCCCAAAAAGGAGGGGGAAAAAGTGCCTGCGTCTTATGGAGCGAATCCCGACGCCCGAGACATGCAGTTTGGGGCGCCGGGCGAGTAGTAGGAGCCACTGCTCGTTTAATACGAGTGATCTAATGAGATCCCTCGTATTAAAACCGAGCAGCGGCGACGATCGAGATAACCATAGAGCAGACGAAGAATAGACGCTCTTCGCCTGCTCTGTGTAATCACAGCGCCACCTGTCTCAGCGGTCACTAACTGCAGCTTCTGTGACAGCTTCTGTCATAGAAGCTGTCACAGAAGCTACAGTCTCGAGTGCTCCATAAGGCGCGCCGGACCTCCCTGCGTCCTATGGTCCGGTGCGTCTTATGGACCGCAAAATATGGTAAATCCTGTATAATAATAAAAAAGGTGAAAGAGTCCATCATTGCACTCCGTGTATACTGCACACAAACTGCTGCATGCAGGAGTTTGGAAGGGCTATGTCAAAGTGCAGCACACTGCAAAGAATTGAATGCAAACATTAAAGTGGTCCAGTTCTCATGTGTGGAAATCAGGCATTGCACTGCTAAGCTAAACCACTCAGGTGTGAACAAGCCCTAAAGACTTTCTATTTACAGAAAAATCCCATTTCCGTTGTGCTGTGTAATCAGACAGAGTATTGAGGTTTTCTAAACTCCCTCTGTTCCAGAAGAAAATCATGCTTGCTCTATTCAATTGATCAGTTTTGCCTAAGCAGTAGGAGGGGAGTGTATTTATTTTGTCGGCAAATAACTGGCATGGTACATTTAGGCATAACCGTTTCAGCACCATGAAATTTAATCACACCTAAAAAAAAAAACCCTAATTTAAATCCAAAATCATATCCCCAAACCTAATCCATACCTCTAACAATTATTATTATTACCGGTATTATCTACCAGGCTAATTTTTGTTTTTACTCCCAAAAACAAGGCACAGAAGTGTTTGGGCTATACAGTAAGGTGGCATTATGCCCATCATAAGCAGTGATATGTCTGTGCTGCCTATTACAAGTTAGCATTGTTTTCAGTTCTGTCTGTGAACTACAGGACACCTCACTCTTATGTTAATAAGCAGTGGAGGGTCCTAGGGTGACAATGCCAAATCTCCATAGATATAGTACAATCAGTGAGCGTTGTCAGCCTAAGGAAGGAAGTGTGCTATTGGCAGAAACATGAGGTAAAAAGAAAGCCAGTGCAGCCGCCACTACCACGAACCACTGGTAAAGCTGCATTATATTACATTTCTGTGTTTATATTAACTTTAATGTTTGTAGGTTCTTTCTTTTTCGAAGCCAAAATAAAAAAAGATTTGGCGGGAGATGCACTAATTAAAACCCCAAATCTCACACACACACACACAAATTTCCAATAGTTTAAATAAAACTGCAGAGCACAAAAGAAAGAAGAAAAAATGTTACACCTGTAAAGCTTTATACTGAACACCTTTCACACACAAAGTATTCAAGTGGTTCTTGCAGTAGACGGTCACAATGATTCTCAGTGTCTCCGGCACAGAAAAACAAATGTCTTGTTCAGGCTAAAGTTCACCTCTTTCCGAAGATTAATATTAATGAGGAAAGTAATGTACTATCAAACAGCCAAGATGCAATACAGCAGACACTTACCATTTATACCTCTGGGTGATACTTGAGTTAGCTTAAGGCCACCCTCCTTTATAAAACCAATAGCAACTTCAACACTGTCATCTGTAGGTCGCTCCAGCAGCAAGGTCAGCATTTCCAGTGCCAGCACTTCATGGGCCTTGCACAATAAAAAGGGAAACACGATCATTCAAAACAAGCATTTGTATCAAATTGCACGATTCTCGTACGAGAATCGTGCAGTGTATGGACACCTTTACACACAGAAGTGAAATACTCATCCTAGTGACTCATCTGTCATCAGGCACCTGAGTGTAAAGATTCAAATGGAGCACAAAGGAAGACACACTCACAGCTGTCCATTATTTTTAAATGGTGCTCTAGGAAATCCTTTGTCATGCATGGTTTTTTTTTTTTTGTAAAGGAAAGATTGGGCGTGTGTGTACACACACACACACACACACACACACACACACATATATATTTAAAAAAGGCAGATATAAAAGAGTTTAGACATCTGAAAAAAACATTATACAGTAGATTCCCTATCAGCATAATACTCATTCACGATCACATATTTTAAACCACCATAAAAAGGCATACTGTAACTATTTAAAAAGCAGGATATCTACTTTCTTTGCAATGGATGCAGTGCTGTCTTTACCATAAAGTATAACACAGGATCTTAAAAAAAAGCTGTGGAGTGAAGGTAGAAGGTAGGTAAGGAGTCACAGTAGAGGCAACAAGCACCCCACTTCACATTCTCTTTTTGGGTGGATGACTTAGATAACTAGTGACTCTGCCTAGAAAACTAGCTGCACGCTGCCAAAAGTGCCTTTTGTTTTGTGGGGAAAAAACATTAACAAATGTCCAGCTCCTCACACCATTAAATACTATCTGTGCCACCAAGCCACTGCATCTAGCAAAACTGTTAACGCAGGCTCAGAGCAAAGCAATGTCTAACTGAACCAGAGAAGCCAAATTTGGACATCGCAATATGATGAAAAATGGAGGATGAATATAAATGTAATACAATTGTATTATGTGAAAAACTACAGGGACATCAACAAATCTAGCTTTTGTTTTTACAGAAAAACAGTTTCGCTCAGATTTCTTATTTTGCATTTTAAATACAAATAGTACAAAAAATGGGGCTGTTATTTAATTTGCTATTAAATGAACTAGGATTTATGGGAACAGTGATATATATAGATATATATATTTATTTTTTTCCATACAGATAAAGATATCCCTGGTGTGAAATGTGGTGCACAGGAAAATAATATTGCTTTTAACTTTATTTCCAATTTCAAAGCTATAAAAAAAAGTTAACTAGCCTACATATTGCAATAACACATTTTGCCTGTTCAACCTCTAACACAGATAATAGGAAATTGTTCCCTCAAGGGACTGGCATGGCAGTACAATACTAAAGATCTGTTTTACAATGCAATACTACTTGCCCTTGGTGTTGCAACTCTACTTCTGTATTTGATTTTTGTGACAAAGGAACTAGTTATAAGAAACAAATGAAGGGAAAGCATCTTTGTCATCGCTAGCAACAAACCAGAACCAGAATCTATTAGAATCCATTTTATAATTCTCAGACTCTTCAAATCTTTTAAAGCAAATATTAGGGATGCACCAAAATTTCGGTCAAAAATGGTACTTCAGTAAAATGCCAATTTTTTTTTTACAATTTTCAGCCGCAATTGCGGTGCATCCTTGGTTTCTCTTCTCTTCAATCCTTAGACGTAACAAGCATTTTAATCCTTGCAGGTTTAGCCTTTTAGGCTAAAACAAGTATTAAAAAGTGTCCTAGAGGAACACATTCTTGTGTTCCTAGTGAATAAATAGAACCTGCTGGATTTCTTTCCGATAGTGGCTGCTGTTGTATGACTCATAAACGATATGAAGCACTTATTCAGCATCATTGCAAATGAAGTGACATCCTTGGAACTAGCAAGAGACTTGTAAATCAGTCAATGGCAGTTTCCAGCAGACTGGACAGGTGAGTTATTTTCACTATAATAAGAATATTTTCCCCCTCACTTCCTGTGCAATGACACGGTCACAGAAAATGATAGGGACAACAACAAAACACTTATGGAAGAGCAGGGAAGGGTTAGCATATGGCAAGTCGCTACTGTGTTCTGTGGTGGCCTGCGGGGTAATCTGCAGTGCCTAGTAGAAGCCTGGGTAAATGTGAGAACCGGAAGTGTCACATATCAGTGTCACCCCTAACTTTACAATAAAGTGAGCATTTGACCCAGCTCCTGTCAGAAAGGTATGTATTAAACTTCTTTTTCAGGGATTGCGACATTTATTTATTTTTTTAACTGTGGCGGCAAGGTTTAAAAGACAACTATGGGGTAACCTTTTTATCCCATAGTTCTCTTAAGGGTCATGGGAGGACATATCCTAGTGTCCTCCCATGACCCAAAGCTCTGTATATAGCGAGTTACAGCTCGCTATATACTGAGAGCGCCGCAGCCGGGACAGATCCTGACAATGCTGTCGAGAACCACCCAGCTGAGTGAGCGACAGCTGGCTCTGCGAGAGCCAGCTGGTCCCGCCCCCTCCCTGTCCGTTCCTCCAGTCAGTGCTGGAGGATCAGAGAGGGAATCCCTGCGGGGAGTGGTGACTGACAGTCACTGCTCTCTGCAGGGAGATGATCGAGAAGTGAGCGAGTGGCGGTATGCGTCCGCTCACCTCCCGATCTATAGAGCCGACCTGTGGCAGTCATTGTCACACGTTGGCTCGAACTATGAAGTTGAGTGAAAATCACTCGCCTCATAGTTCTCCTTTAAGCCTCTAAATAAATTAACTCTCTCAAAACAGTGAATACAAAAGCAAAAAAACTGGACTTACTACATTCTGATTGATTAGATGGGCAACAAATTTTGAAGCTGTCAAACAAAGTTGCTGTAGGAAAGAAGAAAATAATAGATATTATTCTATCGAGATGTGAAAATCAACATTCTTAGAGGTTTAGTTCTAATAAAAAATTGCAGGTTTACACATGAAATGTCACATTTGACTGTTTCAGGCAGCAAATATTCTTGCACAGTTTAACAGATGTGTTTTGCAAGTGGTAAACTTGGGTTTCAAAATAGCTTAAATTTTATTTAATAAAAAAAAAGTCCAATTTACAACGTTTCATGGTAAGTCATCATGTGCTGAAAATAAAAAAAAAGCAGAACAACATGCCTCAGGCATTATCAAAAGCCAAGATAAACACTAGCAATACAGAAATACAAAACAGTAAGCTTTTCTCTACCTTATCATTCCTCCTGTAGCCTTTACGGAAATTTAGGATCAGTCTCTTTAGAATTAATTCCCCTAACTGAGGAAACTTGGAGTTGATGATTGCCACTACAGCAGCATACACATGGGTGAAGATGGGAGACGCACTCTGAGCTTGAAGGATAGACCTAGACATCTGGCCTCTATGGGAAAGAAACAAAGGGAGGACACTTATGACGAGTACATATTTTGAGTTAATAATAAAAAGATTACCTTGAAATTTTAATGTGACCTCCAAGTACTCACATGATTTTCCTTAAGAGCAATACTTAGCACCTTCAGGTAGTTAGAGATGTTCATTATTACAGAGGCAGAGTTTGCCAATTGTTGGATAATCTCCCTATGAGCAGGTCCCAGTCCTTCACTCTTCTATTTATATAGGTATTATATAGTATTTATATATATTTATAGGTATTTATCTAGTGCTGACAATTTACGCAGCACTTTACATACTGCACATTCACATCAGTCCCTGCACTCAAGGAACTTACAATCTAAGGTCCCCATCTCACATACCGGCATGTCTTTGGAGTGTGGGAGGAAACCCACGCAAGCACAGGGAGAACATGCAAACTCCTTGGCATATAATGACCTGGCCAGGATTTGAACCTGGGACCCCCAGTGCTGCAAGACAGAAGCAATAACCACTGTGCTGCCCATGAGAGAGCGAAAGATCACCCTGCATTCTTGGGGAGATACCTGCTCATCTATAACCGGCCTATTGCTTTCAGTCTGAGCAGACCAATAAACTTTCATTGAGAAAGAAACAATAAACTAAGCAGACATTACATCTATTGCCTCATGCACATATGCAATTAATAATGATAAACAAAAAACTATTTAATCTAACATTTTGTCCCTGATGTTGATGTGCTGGAAGCAGAAAAAAAATGAGCAAACAGAAGAATTTGAGCGACTTTGACAAGAGCCAAACTGGGTTAAAGCAACTCCAAAACTACAGCTCTTGTGGGAAGTTCTCGGACTGCATTGGTCACGACCTACCAAAAAAGTGGTTCAATGAAGGAAAACCAGTGAACCGGCGACAGGGTCATGGGCGGCAAGGCTCACTGATGCATGTAGAGAGCGAAGGCTGGCCCGTGTAGTCCTATCAATAGAAGAGCTACTTTAGCTCAAATAGCTGAAAAAGTTAAATGTTGGTTCCGATAGAAAGTGGTCTAAACCCAGAGTGCAATGTTTTCACTTCACCTCTCAGTGGTCACAATGTTATGGCTGATCAGTGTATATAGAGATAGATAGGACTACTGGTCCCTTTTTAAGCCATAATTACTCAATATTGTAACCATTGTGCTAAATTCAAAACTATAATTTAATTTCTTGACTGTTTACACATTTAGGGCCCTGTCACACCATATCCAGTGCGTTCCGGCGCGGTTCGAGCCTGGAAAGCACAGATCAAGCCGGACCGCGTTCTGGGGCGGGAGGGGGTGTGACAGTGCCATTCATGTCAATGGCACCGCGGACACGCCCCCCGCCCGCAGTGCAATCACCCGCACCAGAACGCGGGGTACAGGAATGCCCTCTGTTCCGGTGCAGTGCAATCTAAAAAAAATGCTGCATGCCCTATTTTATATATCAAGAGTAGTTGAACCGCTTTCATGTCTGAAATATCTTGACACAAAATCACAGACGTGAGGAATGTACCTTTAAACAATAAAGAACAAGGTAAGCCAGTACACAAGGTGCAGATCTGATGAACAGCAAAACATTGAGATAGAAGAACTGTTTTGTGACGATCATTAAAGTGACATTAAACCCTCAGATTTTCTAACATAAAACAATACTGTAATGTGCGCCTTACTGTAATCCATGGTTGTTTCCTTTCTCTTTGCTGCTCTTCCTTTTAAATCCTCATGTCTTCTCATGCTGGGCAGAACTTCTGTTTTGCAGCAGACTGCCTTGTCTCTGGAATGGATACATGGTGTCTGTGTGCAGGTTCACAACCTGAGCCAGCACTACAGGAAGGGGCACTCAGCTGCCAAGGGAAGTTCTCCCCCAGCATGAGAAGAGAGAAGGATTTAAAAGGAAGAGCAGCAAAGAGAAGGGAAACTACCATGGATTACAGTAAGGCACACATTACAGCATTGGTTTATGTTAAAAAATCTGAGGGTTCAATGTCACTTTAATAACCAAAAGAATGACCTCAGTTATGACCAGTATCATACGCCTGAAGAAAGAATTTAGCCCAATAAAGCCATTACTTCAAACAGTAACCATAGACCTTGTGTAGGTCACACTTGAACTGTCAGCTTCTACATTGCTTCTTTAAAGTAATAGTTCAGTATCTATCATACACAATAGGATACTATGTCTTATATATTTGGAATCAAGAACATGACAGCTATCCAGGTAATATGTTGCCGATTTCCCCAAACATTTCTTCACACCGGGATAATTCCACACAGCTACCTCCAGACAAGCAATACTACCACACATTGACACTAGCTGTGAAATATTGAAGAAATGACAGACCAAGTCATATAGGCTTAAACATCAATCATACCTCTTTTCAATTACACATCTCACATAATAAATGAATGTGTAGGTGTCAGTTCAGGCCATTAAGCATATTGATTTTCCGTGGAATTAATACATTTGCTTTAAATAATTTCAAAACATTTGTCAAAAAACAATTAAAAATTATATTCATTCCAGATAATTTTCCATTCCAGGAAGCATATTACCTTGTTTTCTGCACTATCTACATAGCGAAAGGCAGTGCAAGATTTGGATCCATTTGCATAGACAGAATGGTTGAAAGACAATCAGATCCGTGCTGGCATGGTTAGTTTGCGTACCAGTGCTTCCCCCTTCAGGCTTCATTCACACTGCTAAGAACCGGCCCGTACAGATCCGTGCGGCGAGCACGGTCGTATCGGGCCGCTCCCGGGAAAGCGTGCGATTGTACGCAGCAGCCTGTTCTTCTCTATGGGAGTACGCGGCCGTACGTTCACCCGAGCTGCATATTCGTGCGGGTGAGGGTGTCCGTACTCATACGCAGACAGGATAGAGCTCTAATCAATGGCGCGCATGAGCTTTCCTGATTGCCAAGCTATAGGTCTGCCTCAGTTTGGGGCATGTCATAACTCCGAAGAGAGATCACTGCTCCCACACAGAAAACAAAGGTCCCTCTCTGCAACTGCTGACAGGGGACAGACGGTCAAATAAAAAAAACTATAAGAAAAAACACACATATTTATGGAATCATTACATACCGTCCACGAATTATGTTTTCTTGAAGGAGCTCCTGAATAATATTCCCAATGTTAGACACGTTGACTTTGTTAATGAGACCATTAATTGACTTCTTTAATGCTTCCCAGCTCATTCTCTGATAAGCTAAGCTGTTGAATAGAAACAAAGCATTAGCACAAAAAAAGAACTTTAAAAGTCATTTCCTCAGTACTTATAAAGCGGGAATGCATAGACATGACTTGACTCACTTCCAGTTCTTCCTTAACATGACAACCTTTAAAGGGACTGTATAGTTATTTTGTACATATTTCCATTCGGTTATTATGGTCACAATCCAAAATAACATTTTATAAATATTAAAAAGGTGCACCGAAATGAAAATTTCAAAACCAAAATGAAAACAAATGTCAAGCCGAAACCGAAAATGTTTTATTAAAAAAACTTAAAAATTGTTTAACATTGTATTTTTATTTTTTATAACCTTTTAAAGTTTTTTATAATTTATTTATTCTTATTATATATTTTTATTTTTTTACTTTACTTCTTGGGGCTTCGGGGAAATATCAGGGGTCTAAACAGACCCCTGATATTTCCGTTTTAAAATAGAAAAACATTGAGAACACAGAGTCCTCAATCTCTTTTTCTGCATCCCCCATTATAAATGAACAGGAATACTCTAAGAGTGTTCCTGTTCATTCATAACTTGAGGGCAAAATGTGTTTCTAGTAACCATACTATGTCCTCAATTATTTACACTCAGTGATCACTGAGGGCTAGTTCACACCAAGCGCGGAGCAGATCCAGAGCAGAGCAGGTGCAGACCGGATCAAAACTGCGTCCAATGTATTCCTATGGTATTTTGAGCTCCAGTTCACATCGCAGCGTGCAGATCCAGAGCAGGTGAAAAAACTGCAGCAAGCCCTATTTTACCTGCTCTGGAACGCATCAAAAACGCATGCAAGTGCCTGAACTCACTGAAAGCCCATGTTAAACTGGCCCTGAACGCATCAAAAACGCGGCACAACCCACTGCACTGCGTGTGCAGAAACCTGACCGGATCTGCTCTGCATTTGGTGTGAACAAGGCCTGAGTGTTTGTACCACTCTCCATCCGGACAGCTGTCACAGGAGGCTGAGCGAGCGAGCGGTGCGGGGAGAAAAGCTCGATCTGACAGCCGACTCCTCCACCGCCAGCCCGGCCTCCTGTGACAGTGCTGGCTGTCTCCGCCCACAACCCCCTCTCCCGATCTGTGACAGGAGGCTGAGCGGTGTGGTAGGAGAGATGCCGGCTGTTCACAGCGCTGACCCACCTGTGACAGTTTCTCTCCTCCCCGCTGGGATACAGAGCAGCGCCCAGCGGGGAGGAGCGAATAGGATGCACCGCTATATCGGCAAGAAAATGGCATTTTCTGCATTTCGCCAAAAGTGCCATTTTCGGCCAATATATTTCGGTGGCCGATATACCGGTGCATCCCTAATAAATATACATTATTCAGTAGAGTAAGAAGTATAGCATATTAATATTCTGTATTCTCCTTCAGCAGGTATATCTTAAAATCGGGTATACACGCTTGGATTTTGTTTCTTTCACCTGCCCGTTGAACACAGAAAATAGAACAGATTTCTCTATTAAACACTTATGAGTGTTGATCATGGAACCTCCCGCTGTTTACATTGTTGCCTGCTCGCTCTGTTCGGCCGAGAATTTACTGACATGCTCCTTCGATCAGCTGATCAAGGGATGCCGATGGAAAAGTGCGGACAGCGGCACCCACACTTTCAATTTCGGCTGGTTCATCAAGAACCGCCTGAAATTGGAAGCGTGTATACCCAGCTTTAGGCTCCTTCTCATTCAGGTCTTTCTAAATATCCATAACATAACCTGCAATTTACAAACAAAAGTAATTGAGTCCGGCAGTGACTAATCCCCCTGCCTTCAAACACCTATCAAGAGCTTCAATGAGAAGCATCATGCCTGAAAAGAGAAAACAAGTGCTGTGCTCTCTTTAGGAATTGATTAAGATTGTCTCACCACCATATGACATATGCTGAGGGTGACAGATTTATGTACATGTCAGAATCATGTACATGATTTTGTCACACAGGCTGTGGTGTGCATAGGCACAGGGACACTAGTAACCAAGAACACTGGGTGGTGAGGTCGCCAGCTTCATAGCAGCCAAAGACGCTGTGGGTCCGAGCCTCATTAACTGCCAGGATGCTTGGGGCCTCACCACACAGAATCATTGGTGGTTATGTCACAGACAGCTCAACAGTGTTTCAGCAACCAAATGACGTGTGGAGGTGGCAAGCTCCTCTCACAATTTCCTTCACTCCTGACACAACCTATTCCAAGATGAAACAGATTTCAATTACTGCCAGTTTCCTTATCTGAAGCTATAGTATTTTTTAATGAATTTGCCGCAGCCATTGTGATAATGTAAAAGTGTTGCCAATAAGAACAATCTGGATGTGTCACATGTATCGGTAATAGCATCAAAAATGTGGTGTTGCTTTTATTTGAAGCAAGACTTACTAAGACACTATAAATGCCAGAAAAGTGTTGCAAACTCTATACTGAAGTGTCCCAATAGTGTTCCAGGAATCCTTTGCAGTATGTAAAATGCTTATATAAAACAAATATTATATAATATATAGATGGTAAAATAATACAGAAATAAAACACCAGTTTAAAAACCTAGACCATTAAAACAAAATACACAAAATAAAACCGACCCAAATCCATTACAGTTAGCCTTTGATAATCATTATGTTAACACAGCTAAAGCAAATGTCTAGATGTAAAGGTCTGTTGCATCAATGTGCTCATACCAAGTACTGGCACTGCATCTTCTCAGCCTCCAATTACATTCATACCTGCCCTGAAAAGTCTGATTTTGATGGTGGCTGTGGGGAAAGAGTGACGGTTTGATACAAAGCTCTCCCCTGTTCTCTGTCATAGTAGGACACCATAAAAAGATAAATTAACAGGGTTATTCACAAAAGGAGAAGGCAGGAAAAGTGAAAAAAGTGAACAATCTGGTACAACATAGCTGAACTGGAATATGAGTTGAATAGGAGAATTTTTCCAAATCAGCTATTATGGCCTAGATTAATCACTTCTCCTGTCTTCTCCAAACTCTTCACCCTTTTGTGAATAACCCTGAAAAGAAGTTGTATAGAATAAAATGGAGTTCGGCAACATGTAAGCAAATAATGATCACTAAACACATGGCCTAGTCCACCATTAAAGTCAGGGACCAGCACTAGGGCAGAAGAAGGGATAACTAGACTCATCACTGGTCAACTTCTACAACCGGTGTACCGAGTGAGGGAGTGATCATTCCAGATTCATTAACGCGTGAGGGGCGCTGGAGTAGGAGAGATACAAGATCAGGTGGTGTATATGCTGTATTTACCTGAAACTTTGGACTTTGTATGGAATTTACAACAATAAACTTGGATTTAATTAATCTGGTCTTGTATAATGTATTGTGTGGCTGATTGAAGAGATATTGTGTAAGTAGTGGGAGCACACTGCAGCCTGCACCCGGTGTGTATACTGAGTTGCTGTTGGAAGTGGAATTGGAGCGGTGAGTCTTGGCTTTTCTAGATATAGCATTTAGATTTGTTCTGTGTGAATAGGGCAAAATTGAAGGTTTTCTTGTGCACTCATTAAATTGTCAGAAAATACTGCATTGTGGCCACTAGATGGAGCTGGGGAGCATAGGAAATACTCCTCGGCTCCATCTAGTGGCCATAATGTGGTATTTTCCGACAATGACATTGTGTACAAGTAAGCATTCGATCTTGCCCCATTTGCACTGAACTAATGTAAAATGTCAGTTTCGAAAATGTCAAAACAAATGGCTCTGCAATTTTTTTTATAAATACACCCCATAAAGTCCATACCTTTGGCAGCTGTCCATCTGATTTAGGACTAATTGGCCATACACCTATATATGTATAGCGTAGATGGAGGAATCTGTTGCACTTTTCCCATCTGACCATAGAAAATCTGCAGATAATCTATAGGTGTATGGCCAGCCTTACTGAATAAATTGTATTTAAAATGGCCTCAGCCAGAAAGAGAGCACTATAGTTTGTGTATTCTGCCTAAAAAGGGTAATTTCTTCATACGTGAACTAAGGCAGATAACACTCTTTCCTTCTGACAATATATACCCCTTCATTCCTAGAAGTTAACATGCTACCAGCTGGGATGTTTTATTTAATTTTCTGTTCATTTTCCTTTTCCACCCACCTCTACTTCAATTAAAGCTTTAGCGCACAGCCAAGCCTTGGTCATTGAATTTCTTTTCTTTTACCCTGAACTGCATCTAGCCTCCTCACTGTGAGTTCACTGAAATAGGACAAAGATCTAAGCAGAATGTTTAAAAAAGGTTTTGTGTTTTCTCATGTTAAAAGCGGAAAATACAATGGAAATGAACGCCTCATGCAGAGAGGGGATTCATTCTCGACATTATTAAAACTATACTGTGAAAGGTATTTTGTCTTAATCTTCATATCTGCTCCCACTGGGAATCTAGTCACCTTCTAACCCACACTTACTTTAAATCGCTACAATTCCTTTCCTGCACAGATTACTTTTCATGATGTGTATGTATACAGATGGCAGGAAATACAACACTGTTGGTAGTTGCATTATGCAAGGCTGGGACAATGGTCACCATTGTCCTGACCAGATCTGGAACGCAGTGCATCACGTTTTTACCACGTTCCTGAGCAGTTTTTTTTTTTTAAGCTTAAAAAGGGCTTTCAGGTGCGTTCCATGTGTTTTTGATGCGTTTCTATGCGTTCCAGACCAGAAAATACTGCATGTCTCATTTTGTCTGGTCTGGAACAGACTGCGCTGATGTGAACAGAGGCCAGAAATAGCATAAGGATACATTAGGATTCATTATGGGTCCGGTCTGGAGATGATCTGAATGTGGTGTGAATGGGCCCTAAAGCAGTCTACAGGCCTTTTTTTTAATTTTTTGCACCCATGTTATATTCCACATTTTGGGCCTAGAAATTACTTAAAACCCCCCAAACATCATATATTTTCCGATAGCCAAGACCCTATAGAATAAAATGTTTGCAGTTGCAAATTTTTATGTTGCACGATATTAGCGCAACTTCTTATCAAACCCCAACATTTTGTGAGAAATTTACTTAAATGCCCCAAAACACAATAAAATACCAATTTTTTTAAATAAGATATAAAACATGAGGTTACAACGAGTAAATAAATACCCAACATGCCCAGGTTAAAAATTGCGTGCGTCCGTGAAATGGCGATAAACGTCAGTACCCCAAAAAGTCCATAGACAACGCTTTAAAAGCCCCCACAGGTCATCAGTTTAGAGATACCCAAAAATACTGGCCCTAGAATTATTGCTCTCACTCCGGCGTGCGCGGCGATACCCAACATGTGTAGCGCGTTAGTCGTTTTCATACATAGGCGCACCCGATGCGTGTTTACATGGCGACGTGCATGCTCGCGGGGGCGGGGAACTTTAAAACATTTTTTAAATTATTTTTACATTTATTTCATTTTAAAAACTTTTTTTTTTTAACTTTGATTGCCATCACATAGGGGGGCTTACAAGCGACAGGTACTCTTTAAGGTGATGCTGGGGGTGTCACCTTTACACTGGAAATCGCAGATCGCACTTCAATAGCTGGGCTTCCGGAGCCCAGCACTGACAGCCCAGGGACCGGAAGTGATGCAATCTGCATCGCTCCCGGTCCCATATAACGGGGAGGGGATCGATGAACGGAAGTTCGTCCATCTACTCCCCAGCTCCCCGCAGACACCACGGAAGCTCGTCCTGGGCCCGTAGGAGGGGCAACGGAGCCCGGGAAGCACGGCGGGGGTGTCGGGCGGCCGCTTCACACGACTCCAGAAGCGATCTGGCAACAGCTGAGTCGCCAGAATCGCTTCTATTGTAAAGCCGACAGTCGGCTTTACAAGTTTAAACAGAGTCCCGGCGGAGTCTGTTTAAACAGCCCCGATGCTGGCGACGTACACTGTACGTCGTCAGTCACGAAGGGGTTAAGCTGAGGTTTTACCCCCACAGCTGCTGTCACTGCAGTTGCTGGTCCCGAGATCCGCTGTGCCCGATGCAGTCGGGACCGGCACGGCTGCTTGTCACAGGAGATCGAAAAGGGAGGTCGGGAAACGATCTCCCTCTGATCTCCTCTCCGGTCCCCGAACGCAGGAAGTGATGCATCTTAATCTCTGCTTCATCAGCTTCTCTGGGGGTCCCTAGGTGACATTATGGGTCTTGGCGACCGATGAGGTCTCCATAAAGAGGACCTGTCATGTAAACTAGCTATCACATAGGGAGCTTCTTAGCCTCCTATGTGATGGAAATAAAGTTAAAAAAAATGTAATAAAAAAATTAAAGAAGCATAAAAAAAAGTCCCCCGTCCCCCACGTGCGAAAACAACGATTGCGCCTATTGTGCCTCACAGGTTACATATCACCGTGAACGTCGGTGTGAGAGTAATAATTCTTGGGCCATTAAATCACTGATAAGTGTTTAAAGCGTCGCATATGGTAAATTTTCAGTGTGGTCGTTTTTTTTGCAATTTGCGGGCACATGCAATTTTAAAGTTTGACATGTTTGGTGTCTATTTACCCGACGTGACCCCGTCTTTTATATTTTACCAAAAATATGGGTAAGAATAAATTAACACAATGTAGGGAAAACTAAATGTTAACATAAATTGCAAGGCTATAGTCCTGTCATGCTGACTGGTGACATTTTTGGCTGACTGGTGAGACACACTAACATTTTTCAAGCCCTGTAAATGACTAAAATCGATACCTGTCGAGAAGAATTTTTATACTACCAATGTACACTTAAGTAGTCATAACCACTCAACAGAGCACTGGTGCTGTTGCCCGATCGAATATTTGCATGAAACATATATAAGTAAATAAATGTACAATGCCCATATCATTTTAAATGCATCTATATACATTTTAAAAACTTAAAAAACAAGTTCACTTGATATAGTCCATGGAAATGACTGCTCTCCCTTGGTTCAATGCATTTATTGCACAAATTTGTATCATAAGGATTGGTATATTAGATCTCACAGCTACATATTTATCAATATTACTCATGTCTTTTTAATGGACCATAAAAAGCTGAAATGGCATTCAAGCTATAGCCAGTTATAACACCATCAGTTTCACTGCATTCCTCCCTTTACAGCCAATGAGGTGTTTATTCACAAACAGGGTTTCATTAACATCACATCATGTGAAAACCAAACCGGATACAACAAAGCCTTTGTAGCACAGCTCATGGTGCGCTAGTACAATATTAGGATTCTGTCATTGTTAGCACTCTACAATGTCCCTTCTAAGGTGATGTGTAGTCCAATTACTATTTATGATATGTGCACGAGATGCCAGCATACTCGATTAACTGAACCTTTAAACTTTTATAGCCTCAAAACTGATATCACAAGTGAAACAGCTCATGTACAGGAGCACCATTTCCTCATACAAAACGGACATTAGTCCAATATTGGTATCAGCATTGAAAGTGCATGGCCGTAAAAATAATTCAGCGTTCATAATTCAAATAAAGGCCAAGGATATTACAATGGCTTGTTACACCTCATCCAAATGGGAAAAAGAGGTCTGGCTGCAGATCACCGCATCCCAAATCACAGGTGGCTCTGGACCGCTGCTCAACCTGTGCAATGCAATGACAGGCTGACAATGGCCCCAGCTATCCAGTGTAATGTAATGGTGTTCAAATGTAAATTGCACACTGAGAAGTTTGCATCCAGGGGTGATCATCTGTCCCTAACCGCAGGCAATTTGTCCTTGTCCAATTACATCCGAACAAGGACGGACAGATG